AGGTAAAAAGGGGCTTTTAGCAAAAAAAAAAAACACTTTTTCGATCCCCATTTGAACCCCCGGGGCAAAATCAAAATTCCAAAACCTTACTGCACATCTACATGACACCACCAACCATCTTCCAAAAGATGATTAGGCTGCTGAGTAAAATGTAGAAGGAGTTCAGGGAAGATGGGGCTTTTTGCATAAAAAACGTCATTTTTCGACCCCCATTTGATCCCCCGGGGCAAATCAAAATTCCGAAACCTTTCTGCACATCTACATGACACCCCTCACCATCTCCCAAAAGATGATTAAGCTACTGTGAAAAATGTAGGAGGAGTTCAGGGAAGAAAAGTGTGACAGACGGACGGACGGACATGAGTAACAACAATATACCCGAACTTTTTTAAGAAAGTGCGGGTATAATAAAAATGCTCCACCAAAGTAATTTACAAAATTTTGATTATTGCCCAATTAATTGCACCATAAATTTTGAAGTTTGAAGTCTAGGGGCAGCACATGGTGAAAATATGCATTAACTCCCTATATATTAAACTATGAAATAAAGTTAATTATTTACCGCAGAAAGTTTAAAAATCAAAAACTTTCTTCCTTTCATCAAAGGCAGATAACTCTTCAAAAACTTTGAACGTGCAAAATGATTTAACTAATATATTCTCTTTGAAATAAAACACATGTCAGCAACATTTTAATTCAATTTCTAATTGTTTTAGAACACTTTTCTGAGTGTGACCCTTCATATACTGAAATATGGCAGGTCCTATGATTTCCTGCACTTGTTTTTTTCTTTCTGAAGGTGTTTTTTAAGTATGGAAAATGAAACAAGTCAAACGTTGACATTGCTGGCCAATAATGTTGGTGTGACAAAACTTTATCTTTCTTTTTATTCCCAGAACTCCTTTATTCTTCATAGCACGTGGGTTTGGACGCTGTCATGAAGAAGTTTAATGTGATGGATTCCTCATTCTGGCTCCTTCCTCTCATAAACCTTTCACTTTTTTGCAAACATTTTGCTTTCTAGATTCTTCCAGAAATTGAAATTACGCCCTCAATAAGAATTTGAACAACTTATGAACTACCCCCGATGATTTCTATCAAATTTGCTTTGTGTCATAAAGTAAACCAAACATACTCAGCTATAATTTGTTGGAATTTTGCAATAACACATTGGTTGTTGTATGTCCTTGTAGCCATGGACGGTACCCATTTTTGATGTCCGTTATATCATTTTTGTTTATTGAAATCCATCTGCTCATATAAAATAGGCATTGGTTGCTGTAAATTAAACATATTTCAATAAATATTTTTTGGGTTTCTTAACACGTTTTCCACAGCTTTAATGAAGCGTTTAATTTCACTCTAGTCTACTGATTCTTGCCTATTCATTTTAAATGCAATTTCTCGAGTAGCCCTTGTTTTCCAGCTTCCCATAATGGAATTATGTGATGAAAAGCTCTCATATAAACTGATATAAACTTTGAAGATTCATGGCATATGATTTCTATGTTGTGTGTCATTGAGCTGATGACATTATTTATTGTACGTCCCTCTATTTTTATAATCCACTTTTCCTGTAACATCAAATTCAATTAACCCGAAAACAAAGGTTGTTTCACTAATATTGTGCTTAAAGCTGACATGAATTCTTAAAAACACAACATTTTCATTATGTACGACTTATTTCATACCAACTATAGCCGTATTCCGCCATATTTTTTCAGATACTTTGTCTCATTGTAACGATATATACCCCAATGCGCTCTTTACACTTCAATGATTTTTTGGTTTGGGTATCGACCTGTGCACATCTCCGATGGTAAAGCATAAGAAACACATGAGGTGATCAAGACATTTCAAAACTACAATAAACAACATAATAATCATATTTCTGAATAATCAGATAATTATTGATTTGAATCAAAAGAAAAAAATGAAGTTTGGCAGAGAAATTTAGATGCACGAGTACGTATTTTTACAGTGCGCCAATTTATGAGAAAAAATTTGAAATGAATAGCAGTAAAATCTGCAAACACATTTTGAAATTATATCATTTAAATGGAACAAAAAAACCAACGTCTTTGATTTGCAGCTCTTATGCAATTGATGCATATCGAGAAAACGCCTCGAACGCTGTAACGTACCCATACCTCGTAATAAGGTTACTGCATCGGTTCGAAGATGTGCATAAGTCAAGTGATATACACCCTGAATTCCATTTTTAAATATGCATCACAAAAAAGAAATAAACTGCGTAAAAGCTCAATAGTAAACACACTGCCAATACTCCGTACAGACTAGCACGTCGATACAAGTCCGTGCTGACCAGATTTTGGTCAGGGAAAATATCACAAGTTGAAAGAGACGTTATTTGGTTTTTCGCGGCTGAAAGGGGGGATTATAACTGCTGTTCATAACTATAATTTTGAATTGTCTATCTACATGTAGGTCTAATATACATTCTATACAAAGTCATGTATATAGTCTGCAGTTGGTTTGCATCGCAAAATTCATTTGTCAATTATAACTGATTATTTTAGTACTAATCTCAAATCTAAACCAAGTAATTTGATTTATGGTAATTATTTACTTCAAATCTTAAAAGCATTTAACCAAAATACAATTTTTTATGTGTATATCTATACGTTCTTTAACACACAAACACACGGAGAAAAGCCATCCCCTGTTCAGACTGACATTTAGGCATTTGATTTTTTAGGCGGGGGGGATGCAAAAAATAATGACATGATCGTTATTTAAATATTCTTATAAGACAGACATTTCTACCGAATTCAATTTTGAGATTCTTTTTTTAAAAATGTGTCACTCCGACCACAAAGTATGTGCATTTTGAGGAATGTAACTGTTTTATAATTATGTTGTTATAGAGAGTCTTTTGAGATTTCAGTATCCCTGCCTGATAGTCCAGCTATTTTTTAAATATAAAAATAATTTCTGTTGGAGTATTTGTGAGATAACCCAGATAGCAAGCTGACGTTGGTTCAGCCGATGTTGGCATATGGTTGGTAGATCGGCTACATATCGCAGTTGGTAGAACGATATTGGGCCAACATCGGTCCGACATTATCATTACAACAGTCGGTGTACTGACATTGTTCTAACATCGGCCCGGCATTGTAATTACAACAGTTGGTGCATTGACATTGTACCAACATCGGTCCAACATTGTCGTTACAACAGTTGGTGCACTGACATTGTTCCAACGTTGGGCCAACATCAGGCACGTAGCATCGTTTTGAAAGTTGGGGGAGGGGGGCAACCACAGAATTTTTTTTTTAATTTAATACCTGAAAAAATTTGACAAGCAAATTTTCCTTGATATTACTATACTGCGGTAAACAGTGTGTGTGTGTGTGGGGGGGGGCATTTCAATAGACATTTTCTGTACTAAAGGTAATGTTTTGGGGGGTGTGTGTGGGTGGGGGGGGGGGGGTCAGCCCCCATTTTTGCTACGTGCCTGAACATTGTTATTTTAAATGTTGAAGTATGGACATCTGTATAATGTCGGCCCGACATTGTTGAACCACTGTTGCTATGCTGAAACGTTTAAAAAAATTATCTATTTATTTTAATTTATATTTATTTGTTTATTTATTCATTTTTAATTATTTAATCCTTAGTAATACGTAGATTTTCAAAACTATGGAATATAACTTAGATTTTTCTCTAGAAATGTCGACTAGTATTACAATTACATCGGGATCGAAGTCGGGCTCGAAATGCAATTTTGAAATTTAAACAACACGCCAAGCCGAAATTTAAATTTTTGTGTGTTCCACGCAGTCATGCTGATGTTGTACAGAAGGAAAGTTCGGAGGAGAGTGTCGCAAAAAGTAGAATCATGACTAGCTTTGGGTGGAATTTTTGTTTTGACAGAAGATGAAGACATTTTATGACCCATACTGCGGTATAGGTACAATGTACAAAATAATTTAACATGTGTCCTTGAATGAATAATTGCTTCTGCTACTGTTCCTTAGTCAGGACACTACACATAAAATGCCTGGCAGTAAAATCGTTTGAGCAAGCGTTATTTCAGTTTTGTTTTAATATTTTAAAACTTCTAAACTTCTAAAAAAGATGGATTTCAACCCGAATTTCCTCGTTTGGGATCGATTCAGGAATTTTAGTGTTCCTCTCTTCAACATTTATAGAGTATGATGTAAAATGTAATAAAATGATTTTTAATTTTAAATGCATGTTCAAGATCATTTTTAGCACTTATTTTGATTATTTAATAGTTGCATGCAGTGGACTGTGCCCGAGACGATTCCCACAGGCGAATAGTCAGCTTGTATAAATGGTAAGAACCAGCTCAAATTTTCATTTAACACAAATAACCTAATATTGTTTTTATTAACTTGTATCTTTTAGCATAGAACTATAAAAATATTGCAGACTTCTATGTACCAAGTTAACAAGAGATTTATATTCTTATTTTCCTTATCCTAAAAATACATAACAATGGATTCTGACAAGTAATCTAAACATGCTGTGAATTAGCACATCTATGCATATTAATTATTTTATATCAAATACTTATGCATAAATTATTAAGAATAGCTATCATTTTGACATATTCTATGATGCACAATTATACATGCATTATTTACAGGAATCTGAATGCTCACAAGAAGGACAAATGCAGTATGGAAATTAACACAAAGTTATTCTAAGATTTTTTAAATTTTCTGATTAGATCTATAAAATCACATGAATTGAAATACATGTATCTTATATCTTATTCAATGTAAGTCAGGCATAGAGCTTTAGGTCTAGCCCTAACCTTACTTGAGCCATTTTAAGTTCAAAGTTAAACAAAGCGAGTTTTCTCATCAGTGTGTAGTATTCATTTGTCATCTGTAAACTTCTCAAATTTTTACATTTATCGAAATTAATCCTAATTTGAACCAAAAGAAAGACACTGCAAGATAGTGAATTTCTATTCTTCAATACATGTATACTGAACTGTCAGGTTGAAGTAACCAATTGTCTTAACAGTCTTGTACTCTTGTAGAGCCTTACTTTATTATTTGTCATATATTTATATGTTAATAATATATAAATGCGATAGATAATCGATGATAATACATCCTGATTGTCATTTTTTCTTTCAGAAATTGTGCCAGAAAAGTAAGTGTCTACGGGAACGATCAACATCGAACTTTCTGAGCCTTCATACTTAAACTAAAGTGAATTCATTTGTGAATTTCATGGGATATCAGTGAGGAAGTGATTCAAGCAGACACTTGAGAAATTTCGGATCTAAATCATAAATTAGGATCTTTGGCATATTCGGGGAAAATAGCGTGACTGTGTTGATTTTATGGGATCTTTTTATTAATATAGTTGTAGTGGATATTTTGTCTTAATACATGTGTTTGTCACTCTAGTCTAGTCATTAACTTTGTACGGTAAATGTTCATTGGCAACTGGAAGTTCATTGCAACTGTATACCCCATTGAGGTTTCAATGAACTCTCCCAATGTTATTAAGTCAAATATCATATTTTAAAAAAAGAAATAGTTTGTTTTATTACAAAGAAATGTTGATCAGTGAGAATACTTAGAAAAAAATATGCTTACATTGTACATCTATAAGTGTATATATAATATTTGTTTGAAAACACATTGTGAAAGAAACAATTTTTTTTAATTAAAAAATATAGATTTGATCTATGATAAATTGAACATTGAATTGAATTGAATTCAGTTTTCATTGTATCTTCCTGAAATTTCTTAGATTTCAATGGAATTCCATAGATTTCTAAATATCTTTGTGCACAGATATGTTGAGCCAACATGAATTATCATTGTTTGAAATGGGCCAACGTAAAATGAATATGCACAAATACGTTGGGCCTACATTGGGCCAACATCAGAATTATCATTGTATAACATTGACAACGTAGCACCAACATGTTTGAAAATACGCCCCCTCAGATACGATACGTATTGCAATACTTGTGTCACAATTCAATTTTTTCAATCGATACAATTTAAGAACGAAACTATTCATAAGGTTAAAGAAAATTTCAGATTTCAAAAACAAAGGTAAAAGGTGGTTACAATAGAAATATACTACCAGGGGTATGCAATTTCAAAATTCAAGTACTACCCACGGGCTAGTGGCAGCAATAAAGTTACTAGCCCCAAGTAAAAAGTTACTAGCCCAAATATAGGGACAAAAATTAAAACTAATGTTGAAAAAAAATTAATCATTGAAAAAGTCATTAAGGTCATTCTCTTGTTAAAATTAAATCATATAAAATTAAATTAAAGATTATGACAGAAAATAAAAATGAATTAAAAAAAAAATATCTGAAGAGCTTTCCTTTTCTGATTATTTTGAACTAGCTCATTTAGAATGAAAATAAATTCATTTTGTTTTCATATTAAATCCTTGAATACAAAAAAATATATTTCATGTGAATCACACTGATCTTTCAGTTGACTGAGTGATCGCGTAAATAATTTGAGATATCTGCGTGTATTTACAATAAACGGAGGAAATTCATCGTTTTTGGAAGTAAATAAGTCAGAAAGTACTGCAAAATGGAGAAAATTATGGAGAACAGTACAGATGCTGCCTGGAAAATATATTCACTGGTTGGGAATTTGATAGCAAAAAATGAGTAAAATATCTGTTGTACTTTTCATGTATTACATGCGTAGTTATAATTTTTACTAGCCTGAATTTACTAATTTGTTAATTGCACATCTCTGATACAAAAATTAAGAACACTTTATTTGTATAAATAATAGCAGAGACAGCCACTCTGAAACTTTACCGTCCCAATTTTCTCCCTCGTGTGTGTCAAACTGTTTTCCTATTTCAAAGAGTTAACCAAACCCGATTATAAAAAAAAACGTATCGAACCGAAAATCGAGATTCCAATGAATATTGAACCGAGCACTTATATCGAACAATATCGATATTTCGGTGAATCGTTTCAGCCCTACAACATGTCAGTGCAATGTTGCGCCATGAGCAAAAATTACATTGGCCCAATATACATTTTCCGACGTTGGTCCAATGTCGGAAAATGATATTGGGCCAATGTAATTTTGCTCATCATGCAACGTTGCGCCGACATGGCGCAACGTTGGCCCAATGTCCGATAATTTTGACATAACTGACAACAGTGGCCCAACGTTGGACAAACGTAAGAATTATCGTTCTATGACATTGGGCCAACGTTGCGCCAACATGTCGGCGCAACGTTGCGCCGATTAGCAAAATTACATTGGCCCAATATCATTTTCCGACATTGGACCAACGTAACTTACAACGGTGGCCCAACATTGGGCCAATGTCAGCTTGCTATCTGGGAAGCTAGGGTAGGGATACTTGACACTGGTTGAATACGGATAATTCTTATTTACTCGTTCGTATATGGAACTCTCTCTCTCTCTCTCTCTCTCTCTCTCTCTCTCTCTCTCTCTCTCTCTCTGTAACCAGGTAAGAGATCCTACGCATTTTGTGCTGTACCATTTATTTAGCCTTAGGACAGATCAAGGATTTTTTTGGCGGGATGTCGAAACTTCATAAATTCAATAATAATTTTAATTTGGACAAGACGTTAACCCAAGCGCCCAAACTGAAAGAGAAACTAGAGGTATTGTTAGCAATGAACTCACTAAATGATACCCCCGCCTTCCCATACGGTTATAAAGGTAAAGTCCATATTTTGCTGTTGTCGCTAAACCCAAAATACGTGTCGGATCAAAAAATAAAATAGGATCTGATCAATGGTAATATGTAATAAACCTATTAGAAGATTCTGTGAAAGTTTCATTAAATTTCACTTAGTGGAATAAGAGGATTTGCGGATAAGAGATTGGTAAACCGAAGCGTAACGGACAGACGGACGGACATAACGATGACTATATACCCTCCCACTTTTCAAGCGGGGGATATAATAAACGTGAAATATACATCACATGATGGAAGCAAATTGAAAGTGTGGGGGCTTGC